ACACCACTTTGCTTTAGTCTCCCTGTGCATGAGAATTTACCAACTTCACAGTCATGACCGGAGTTGTGAGTTGAATGTAAATGGACTCAAACAAGATTAGTAAGTGACTTTACAACAATTAAAACGGTTTTACTTTTAAAACAGTCTGTATTGTAATGATTTTCTTTAACATTTTGCCTCAGATTTCAGTTGCAAGTGCATTACTGTACACATGCATTTGTTTGTTTGGTAATTAAAAGTACAATATAAAAGCATGCATGTGCACACTAAGTGCATTGTATCAAATTAAAAACCACTTATAAATTGGGTCCATTTATTTTCTCAAGCTGAGGCACAAGCCAGTATTTTTTCTGTCCAAATTGACAGCAGGTCACAGATTCTGTCCATAGAGCTTAAGTTGTACTGAATCGGGAACATTATTGGATACATTGGCAGCAACAGACAGGCTAGTGCTTCCACAGTAAATGTCAATGCAGATCACCCAACAACATTCATTATGACAGAGAGGTGTCGTTTGTCACGAGTGCTGGAGGTATAACCTGCGGTGAGTGGTTATGACAGGCCACATGCCATGCTTATGTGTCATGTTTATGTTTGTATTTATTGTGGAAGCTGTCATGTTAAGCGATGACAGGTAAAACAGCACACTCTCCTGCTGTGCTCCATAAATCAGATGCTTGTTGCAAAGGCCACCGCGGTGGATGTGAATGTAAACACAGGAGGATTGAGCACACCAAATCTTAGCGGTTTCTTAGATAGTTATCTGTGGAGTGACACTTCAATGGTGTGCAGTGACCGCCACATACCCGTGTGTAATATTTCATCAAGATGAAACAGGGTTTACAATCCATTTTACTTTCCTGATGTGACATTTCTGAGTGAAACAGGATATTCAGTGATCTAAAATGTAGGGAAGGACTATCATCTGACATGTGGATGTTATACTGTACTTCTGTGGTTTTTAGCTGTTGCATTGCAGGTCTTTCTGAAGGGTCATCGACAGCAAAATAGGCTTATTATGGGAAAACATTTCCCATATCATTTGTTATGTGTCCAATAATACAGTATTTTGCCGCAAATTCATTAGTCACTAGGGAGAAGCCAGCCAAATTAGACTGATGCCAGCATGAACAGGTTGCTGGATATCCTCTCATCCTACGCAAAGTGAAAGAAAATATGACCCAGACTAGAATAAATATGAATATAGAGCATGCAGCCATCGAAAGCCACTCATGTTGATAGTTATATTTTTGATGTTAATGCGTATATTGTTGGGGCTATGCAATTAATGATGGATGGATGGATGGATGGATGATAGACTAGTAGATGGATGGAGCAGTGTATTGTTGGGTCTATGCAATTTTTGATGAATTAATTGATGAATGATAGATTGGTGGATGGATTTATTGATGAATGGATGAATGATTTGTGGATGGATCAATATCATGGATGGATTATACATTGGTAGATGGATGGAGCAGTGTATTGTTGCTTATGCTATTTATGATGAATGGGTGGATGAATAGATGGATGGATGGATGGAGCAGTATATTGTTGGGTCTGCAGTTTAAGATGGATGCATGATTGATAGAATGAAAGGATGAATGTTAGATTGATGGATGAATGGATGAATCATAGATGGATGTATGGATGAATGATAGATTGGTGGAAAAATTTGTGGGTGGATGGATTGATTATAGATTGGAAGATGGATGGATAAAGCCGTTTATTGTTGTGCTTATGCCATTCAGGATGGATGGATGATAGATTGGATGAATGGATGGATGATAGATTGATGGAGTAGTATATTGTTGGGCCTGTGCAATTCATGATGGATGGATGGGTGTTAGACTGATAGATTGATGGATGGATGGATGGATAATAGACTGATAGATTGATTGATGGATAGATAATAGACTGGATGGTTGGAGTGAGCAGTGTATTGTTGGGCCTATGCAGTTTAGCATGGATGGATGGATTGATATATGAAAGTATGGATAGATGGATGGATAGGTGGATGGACGGAGCTGTAGAGTGTTGGGCCTGTGCAATTGATTATGCATGGATGGATGACAGACTCATAGATTGAGTGATGGATGGATGGATGGATAGATAGATAGATAGTTTAAATTTGTACAACAAAAAAACTAGTGCTGAGTCTTTGGTGTCCAGAGTAAAATCTACCCCGTAAAACAGAACTAGTTCAGAACTGCTGCTGTGTTTCACATCAATAGGCTTGTATTTCCACAAATCACAACTCCCGAGTAGCAATTACAAGGAATGGCCTCTTTCTAAAAAGTAATTTCCAACTCCAAATGTCGCACTCCACCAGTATCCTGCCCATCAGTCCGAGCGCCTGTAGCTCAATCAAACAGACGCATTTGTCATGTCTCTGTTTGCATTTGAGTTTTTTTTTCAGTCTGCTGAGGGACCAGGTTTGTAATTGCTTCTTTGGAACAGGGGAAGAAAAATAAATAATCCTCTCTCAAAGGTAATACTTCAACACACTTTCTGTAGTAAGCCTGATTCATTTCCACTCCGGGCCATTTATTTGACTGCCATAATATAGAAAGCCACGGAGTCCAACCTGTCGTAATGAACAGGAAATGCCTCCATTACCCCAGATCATTGGCGTAAAGCTCAGTGGGACTATACGCGAGTGGAGATGAGCTGACAGATGTGCCGTGTTCATATGCAGAGAGTCACACAGGAAAACATAGAGAGTGAGCGATGATAGTCGCGAGCGGCATTTCATCAACTTCAGCTGCTTTTGTTTAAGCAAGGGAGCTCCCGATCGCAAACCGAATGGAAAGCGTGTTTGCGCAAAGCGTTGGTGCCAAAGTGCACGCTCTGTTGCTAAAGGTAGATTAAGAAAAGTAGGATCTGTCTCATTGAGTGACATGGAGATAATGGTCTCTCTGGTGTGACGTGACGGGGTTTTAAGACGCTTTAAGTCTAAGACTTTAGAGCACAAACTGAGATGAAATTAATGGTTCACTGACTGTGTACCAGGGAGCAAATGCACTGCCATATCATTCTAGCTGCTAAACGCTGTCTATAAATCATCTGCTCAAGTTGTAATTTTGCACGTCTGCTGGTTTTAAAGGGTCACTTTTTATACTTGCATAATTCTAAAGCAGAAGCACATTAGTGAAATGCATTAAAGTGCATTATACTTTCTAATGTAAAACTGTAAGGACCTTTAAAAGACATTTGTTGTGTTCTTCACATGCTGTGCAGATGCTATTATATGCATTTTCTCTCTAGATGACATGATAAATTCTTAAATTTATGGTGCCATTTCCTAAAATCCAGTGCTTCTGTCACCAAACTTTTATTTCTGTGGTGACAGGAATCAAAATACAGCATGTTAGGGTTCATGTCATGTCACAATGATTTTGAAAAGGCGTTTGTGTGGATGTATCAGCGTTTGTAGCACAAAAAATGACAAATACTGTCTGATCTATTGTATGCTTTGTACTACTGTTATATTCTATTAAAGGCACAATATGTAAGTTTTCGCCACTAGGGGTCGCATTTTCAAAACAATAACAAAGGCGAAGCTTGATGAGCTATTAAGGAGGATGTTCACGGATGAGGTAATTTATTATTTTTTTTTATTACCTGTACCTTCCACAGTTATTTAAACAGCGAATAAATTATACAGAGAAAGCAAGCAAATAACATTTACCGTACATTGTCAAAGAACATAGCGCGAGTTTAAGCACTCTCAAAAAACTCCCCTTATAATCAGTAATCAGAATCAGAATCAGAATCAGAATGAGCTTTATTGCCAGGTATGTTTACACATACGAGGAATTTGTTTTCGTACATGTGTCACAGCAAAGCTGTCTATACACGTGTCACAGTAAAGCTGTCTATACACGTTTTATGAATTAATCTCTTACATCATACGTACATCCGCACTTTGTTGTTTATGATGAGAGAATTCGCGTGAGAGCTGAATTCAGTCAGCGAGCGCGTGCAGTGAACAAAAAACTCATCTGAACGACTCTGATTGGTCATTGCATTCATAAGCTCAACAGACTCGTGTGTGATTGGTTATAATGCGCAACACTGTAAAAACGCGTTAAAAAATCATGGCGCAACATTGAGCAGATCTAAATTTAATGCTGCGGTCAACACTTTTCATTTTCATTTTCAATTTATTCGCGACAGCCGTAATGGATTTAGTTTAACTGCACTGTATATATGCATATATATATGCAGCCTTGGTGAGCAATAATGACTTTTAAAAACATTAAAAATCTCACCACCCCCAAAATATAATAGTTATCAAACTTCAAATAAAATCATTTCCACATACTGTTATTTATTTATTTTAGTATGCAGAATATTTTACATAGCAGGCAGTATTCTACTTAATAAACTGCAAATAAATAAAAACATGATTTTGCATTTTTTGAAATATTCACTTAGGAATACAGCATATACTGTTGTGCCAGACAGTATTTATAGTGACTAGTTAATTTTAATCATAAGTGATTAATTTTGATCAGCTGATTGTCAGAATTATCAGTCTGAAACGGGCAGCGCAGTGCGTCTGAGGATTGAAATGGAATTTCATGATGGTGGCAGGTGCTCAGAGCGGATGTGTGCTGGTTTAAATCAAAGATAAGCGAGCTTAACATATCATATCCAGACATGTGTCCCCGAGGATTAGAAATGTGTCAAAGCAGGAATATTAGCCCAACGTCAGATGTCTGAGAAATAAATAAGGACATTTGACTGCATTCTTGACACATCTTCTTCGATAAGTATCTTTTTTTATTGCAGTAGGATGTGGCCTTTTTGTTCCTTGCACAAATTCATTTTTTATTCATTGTTTTCATCATTTTTTGATGAATACAGGCTTTGCAACTCTCTAATTGGCTGGTTATAACTAGCAGAAATCAGCAATGCGTTAAGAATAAAACTGCGCTCATCAACTGGTCCTTTACTACGTCTGATTTTGGCATCTTCTATTTGTCTCTCCTCAGAGCTACAGAGCAGTTCTTGTGGGAATCCAGGAGTTCCTGCCAAAGGAATCCTGAATGGAACAAGCTTCAATGTTGGAGACAGAATCCGGTATCACTGTGTGGCTGGATATACCCTGGATGGCCACGCACAGCTGACCTGTGTCACCAGCACGTCTAATGTAGCGGTGTGGGATTTTCCTATTCCCATCTGCAGAGGTAAGAAGTGACGGATAGACGCTTGGGGAAACTGCACTAAGAAACTCATTTTCATTTTCTGGATTCTTGGTTTTTTGAGGATGAGCTGTTTTTATTAAATGGAGGCCTTCTCTGCTTTTGTAGAGCATCACAAACGCATTAATGCATTTGGACACGCTTAAAATGTCTGAATGTCATCGCATTAGATGATAAAATATCAAAGCAATTGGTTTCTGGAAACAAATGATGCACAAGCTTTTCTCAGAACTAATTTCACTTTTTTTTTTTTTTAGGAATGACATTTATCCAACAAGGCCTAAGCGATACAACTAAAACAATATTGATATTTTTCAGTCCTTTCATGATATGCAATATATCTCTCAATAATTCTGTATATGCTCTAAAACGAGGCCTACGATCAATCAGTTCCAAAAAGAAATACAAAACCTGTGCTAACTGAACACAAAGAATAGGCTAGTTTTGATTAAATCCTTTAATTTAATTTTAGGTTCATGAATATAACGATACCTAATTGTAGACAGCAATAGTTAAGCATATAATTTTCCTTTTTAACGTGAATCATCATTAAGTCATTGTAATCATTGGATTATCATAGAATTTAATCAAACATTCCAGGTTTTTAAATCACATCTCTTTTTTTAGACTGATACCAAAATCACAAATATATTGGATATTTATTCCAGCCCTATAACTAGTTTGTGTTTTGATGGATATGAGGTCAGAAGTTCACACAGGTGTTTTAATAAAGGAACATGTAACACTACCATTTGACAGCTACAGAGTATCCAAATACTAATTTTGAACTGCATGCCTATGTGGTAACACTAAACTGCATTCAGTTTTATCATTTAAAACCTAACAAAAGTCTTTTGAAGTGTTTTTCTTGCACTCTCATTCTTTAAAATGGCACTTGCTGTGGTATGTTGTTATCTAATTCATTGACATTCAGATATTTTAAAGTGTGGCTTAAGTGTTAAGTTAATGCTTTTCGGGGCCACAGATTCTTTTGTAAGCAGCATGTTGGCTCAAAAAGGAATCTGGTTTACTTTGCTGTAAGCCAGGAGTACTCTGGCTTTGGCTTTGATATATGCGGCTTTTATATTATTCAGTTTTTGTTGAATTTCAAATGAATGCTGTTTTTAACTTGTATTGTGCTTCAAATTCTCTCTGCTTCTCATTTGTCTTTCTGGGATTGCTTTAGATATGGTGATTTATGAAGTGTTCTGCAGCGCCTGCTGTAAAATCCTGCAGTTCTTTTGCATTAGTCTTCTTTTGCATGGCACAGTCAAACGTGAGTCGCCCCAGTGGGGAAATGCCTGTGTGTGAAATACAAAATACAGTTAATAATTTAGGTGTTGCTTTAATTATCAGCGTGAGAAACTTTGAAGTGCACTCAGGTATTGTGGGTAGCATTTTACATTTTGGAATATGACGCATGATTGAACTGAATAAAGTTAAAATATGCTACATCCCCAGGATATGTGAAAAATGAGTACTGCTGTATCATTTGTGCTTAATGAAAGATGAGCAGGGCTCAAAACATATCGATGAAAGGTAGAAAAGACCTAATTAAGAACAGCGTTTAAACCAGCAAACATGTTTGATGTATTATAAGCCTCTCATCTTCTTATTAGTTTTGCTTCAGTAGCTTCTAGGTGGCAGAATGAAGACAGAAACAGTATTTCTGACTCACCATTTAGGTTATGAAATTCTGTTTAATTGGGTTTGAAGTCTGCAGCGTCAAACTATTTCAACTCTTTGATTTGAGTAAACTCAGAAGTTGCTAACACCGATAACAGTATATTTCCTTCCTGGTTGAGTTCTGCGCCGGTTGTCAGTTAACACCTGCTGGTGCAGAAGATACTGTAACCAAACCATCTGTGGGCAAAAAAAACATCTTTCTACATTGATGGCAATTCAAAGTAATGGTTAGAAGGCATTAACAATTTCAGGTTCATTTGCAGTTGGAGATGAAAGATAGTTAGATTGGTTAGTGAGTGGGTCATGTGAGCTGATTCAGTGAACAAGTGACTAATTTAGTCAAGTGTTTAGACCAATGACTCCTGTGTCTTATTCATTTTTGGAAATCTTTAACTGCTTTTAAAAAAATATCAACTTTGAAATTGAACTCAAGAAATTAACATATACTCAAAAAATAGCATCCAATTAAACAATGAATCATTTGAATGGTGTACGATTCTTTTTTAAAGCAGGTAAACTGATTTCCAAAACCGTGTGTGTGTACTGTAAAGAGCACATTCAGGGCTTTTCAGGGCATACCAGATGTTTGGAGGTTTGACCATGACATACAGACATTTTTGGGAGACACAGTATACCAATATTCCTGTGAAATATACGATATTCTTATGAAAATGTTGCCGCGTTGTTACTCTCATTGTTACATTTATTTTTTCATTACATGTTGCTCCAAGAACACTTTAATATGCAAATTAGTTGCAATAGACACAATGTATAGAACAAGAATATCCATTTATGGCCATGTTTTTATGCATATTATATAAAAGTAAAATAGTATATCAAATCATTCTGTAAAATTTGTATTACATAGCTGACAATCATCTTTGTACAAAGTTTGGTTAAAAAAAAAAAATAGACTGGAACCTGAAAATTGGTTGGTAAATGAACACACACACATATATGTACATATAAAAATACTAATATTAAAAAAGTGTTTGTGTATTGTGTTCTATTTTATATTGAGCTGAGTTGTTTATATAGTACATTATAATATAAAATATGTAAAATATTATTACAGCACAATATGTACTGTAGATGTAGTGCAGTATATGGTTAAGATGGGACATTGTGTTTCAGGCTTTTTTACAGTCCCGATTTATTGCCCATTATGGGAATATTTGTGATGATCAATAATGAAAAAAGGGTGTTTTACTGGTTTTAGTTGGTTCACCTGGCCAAACTGGAGTTAAGCTGACCAGCCCCAAAAACCCTCTAAAATCCTCAAAACAAGCTGGATGTCCGACTAACCATTTTAGGCGGGTTTAAGCTCCTATTTTCAGCTGAATAGTAGATCCCTGTCATACTCCTAGCATGATTAGCATGCTAGCTTCATCAGAGAGACTAAATGGATGCCTTTTCAGACGTTTAATTAATGTTTTATCAAATGCAACACATGAAAATTGGTCAGACGTTTATGTGATTCATCCAAAAGTGATTCCGGATGATTCACAAGAGAGAATAACTACTGCCAGCTCTGTCTTTGAGTCTCATTCAGCGAAACGAAGAACGCGTGGCCTTGTTGCTACAGCCAAATCAGTCAAACCAGGGATGAATCTCTATTACACAATTTCTGACCCCAGGCTTTTTAGTACATGCTTTTTCATCTTCGGGCAAGGGAAACTGATCTTCTTTGATGAGGATATCTGAGCCTGGAGGCTTGCCCCTTCTCACCGTCCCCTCTGGATGTCGTTAAAGCTAACTATATTGCCGGTAAATGCAAAGAAACGGGAGAAATGGCGCTTGAATGAGAGCCAGGTCTTACGCCATGCATGGATGCTTTGTTTATGCCAGCTGGGAGGAAGACTTATGATAAATTCAGCTCTTGGTAGGCCACAATGTTGCAAGAATATTAGACCTGTTGGCCGTGTGCATTTCAGATAATGCTTGGTTTTCGCTCTAATGCATTTCACATCATGAGAGAATTTTAATAGAGAACATATCAACCTTGTTTTTAATGTAAGAGTGGCCACGGGTCTTGGGAACTTGAGTGTACGAAGCTTCCGGTGCCATTTGCTTCCAGCTGTTTTACCTGTACAAAAACAGTCTCAACATGCTGCTTGATTTTACAAACTGGTATTTATCATAACACATTGGTTTGTAGTTCAAAAACAGCTAACATTATGCTTTAAGAACGTTTTGCCAACGTTATTAAGTTATATCTGAATGTTTACCACTTAGTTTTTTCTTGGTTATATGAGCGTTAGAGAAAACGTTAGTCAATGTTATCATTTTTTAAATACTATGGGGACATTACTTTTGAAACATCTGAAACAAGTATGTAGCTAACAAAGAAACATTCTCAGAACTTTGGTTAACATTCTGGCAAGGTTCTGTCAAAGTTATAAACAAACGTTCTTGTTACGGGGCTGACGAGACGTGAGACGTGCGGATCCAATTGCAAGCTATTTATTAGGAGAAGACAGAGACGTGGTCATAAAACAGGCATGGGTCAGATAATGGCAGACAGGTATATGGCGGGCAAGACACAAGAAGAAACCTAAGGCTAGCGGAGGTGAACGATTGGCAAACAGAATCAAAGGGGCGAGACTAGAGGGATAAGTCCAGGTACAAGGCAAGGTCCAGGCAGGGGCAAACAGAATCAAAATAGGGCAAGACGAGAGGAGGAATCCGAGAGACACAGGCGAAGATCAAGAAACGAGAACACAGACAAGGCAAGACTAAGGTGAGGTTAAGACAAACTAAATGGGCTCTGTAATGTAGCTATCGCTAGGGGAGTGATAATCGCTAAACAATACTCGGCAGTGGAATGGGATCAGAGTGAGAGTTAAATAGGGGATGTGTGAGTGATAACAGCTGTGTGCAATCAGTGCTGTGTGCAATCAACTGTGTGTGTGTCATCAGTGCAGTGGATGATGGGATATGTAGTCCGGGGTGATATGCAACAGTGTGTAGTGCGAGAGTAAATGAAATGGGAAGGGTGACCTCTGATGGCTAGCAGACGGAAGTTCATGGACCGGATACGTGACAGTTCTTCTAGTACCTTTACTCATGTTCTCAAAATATTAGTACAAAATTAGCACAAAATGTTATTTATTCATTGTTGACGCGTTTTATTTTTGAAACATTTTAGTTGGATGTTTATCTAACGTTTTTTTTTAAATGTTACCAGTTTCAGAATGTTCAGAGAACATTCAAAAGTAATATTCTCATAATGTTTGGAAAATTCTAAAATGAAATGCTCCCTTAATGTTCACATAACCCCAAAATTTTGAATGTTCAGA